TTTCGATTCATAAAAAATTTTGGTATCAATGCAAGGAAAAGGCCAAGCATGAAGGAAAACAGCTGCTGAACATGAACAATTTAGGAGGATAAGAGAAGGGCCAGTAAGTAAAGAAAAAATTTCAAGATGGTTAGTGCTCAGTGAGTGAAAGATCCTGTTGTTGCAATGTTGATTTGAGATGGGGAAAATAGTTTTAGATGCAAACCTGCATGTATCCTCTAGTATGTAATAACTCATGTATGTATGTTTATTTAGTGTTAACTAATAGAAGTTAATACTCTGCTCCCATATAATTTTGTTGAGAAAGGGTACCGGTGTAAGCAGACAATATTAGAGTTAATTCAGGACAATTGCTCTTTTATTAAGTATCAATTAAAATAAGAACAAATCAAATCACTGATATCAATAGCAACAGCAAAATATAGAAAAGTAAAGGCACATTACAAATCTAGTAAAAACCCAAATTGGGAAAAATTGCGAGAACTAATCTAATAAAAATCTCTACTATTACAATAATGGGACTATACGAGCCTATTCGGAGCATCAGCATGGCAATAACATCAACCACAACAATCAAGTGGATCTACTACAAATTCATCTCCCAAATTCTACAACATTCTAAGAATTGAGTTTGGAAGGATATTACCACACAAAGTGGAAATTTGAAATTGGACATGTAGAGAACTAGAATTTGACGTGAGGATCGTGCTTTTAAAATCACCATCCGATCAAGGTCTTGGAGTTGCAAAACTTCGTTCTCTTTGGCCCTTTTTTCCCTCACACTCACAAAAATGGTGGCTGATGAATCTTGTTCTAAACTGAAACTTCCGGCAGCCAATTTCATCAAGTCATTCTGAAAGGAATGTGTTAATTGATAGAGAATTAATCATGGATGCATTGGTAGCTCTTCTTTAAATGTAGTAATAGATAACATTGAACTTTTGAATAAATTTGTTCTCTTCTCTGCTGATGATAATAGTTCTATACTAGTTGTTATTATTATATGATTACTAGGAGGGGAATGCCCGTGCATCGCGCGAGTGTTTGGTGCCTGTGGTTAAAAAAAATTTTACGGTAATTTAAGTGAATATCAAAAAACTCACGCATATTGAATAACACAATGAAGTAATAAAATATCTAATGTATACTGGGAGATGGAGAAGGAAATCATGCATGCTATCTTGCTCAGTTCATATATTTTGAAACAAACACTTGTAGATAAGCTTTTCATTAACAAGACTAAACGAACTTTAAACAGATACCCAAACGATTTAGATAATGGCAATAAACAAAGTGATTATCTACTTAAAGATGCATCTACACAACATTCTTGTTGATGAAAGTAGTCAACTATAGTGGAGGCTTTTTGATCATAGTAGCCAACATTCTTTTTTATCAAAGTAGCCAACATTTTTGTTCATTGAAACCTATTCCAACAAAACCACACCATTTAAATTATATAGAACAACTAACTTTGTGGGGAAACAATAATATCAACATTAAATTGTGCTAACAGAGTATCCAATTTTGGAATGAAAGCATTTAGCTAACAATAGAAATTGCGATTTTACAAAGCAAATCATACCATTAAAAAAAAGAATGAAACCTCACCTCAAGTTCAACCACCAAGAATAATTCTACCAGAGAAACCTATTGAAATCCAGAGTACAATGGCAATACAAATAAATATTTACCGGAAAACGAAAGGAACATAATAGAAAAATATGAAGGGGCAGACATTTGAAGAATTGAAATTGAAACTAATGCTCAATCATAAATTCCTTAATAAACCACATTGTCCTTGCTTTAATTGAGATGAAAATGACGTTTGAAGTTCTTCAAGTTATAATAGCAAAGTAATAATAATAATTGATACAAACCAAAATGAATGTCTCTACAAGGACATTTAAGTAATTACACCAATAAAGAAGCTATTATGGGTTGTATCCATTATAGAAAAGATAATCAAATAATCTCACATTCCCAAACTATCCAAACATTTGAACAAATCATCACTGCATCTTTTATAATACAAGGACATTTCAGTAAATACAATAATACACATGCTATTTAAAGTAGTACCCAATATTATAACTACATTCAAAACAACCTCACAATCCCAAAATACCCCTACTCTTGCGGTTGAAATTCAAAGCCATTCTTTGACCCAAACTCATTCTTATATAGTATAAGGATTCTTGTGATTATCCTTTTACTGAAATATATGATAAAGATGACTTTTGAATTTGACCAAAAAAAAAAATTCACCAAAATTGACAAATCTTGTGCCAAAGAATACTACAAAATTTCAAGTTCACTATGCTGCTTCTAAGTGTTTACGGCCATATTTTGGCATACCCAAATCCATATTTTCTTTTATTTTACTTCTTTTAAACTCCTATTTTTAAATCTATTTTATTAAGACCGAGATTCATTTGTAAAAGGTAATAAACATTTTGTTTCGGCCACACTCACATGATGCAATATATTATCCAGAAAGAACATTAGAAGGTTAAATTGACAATACACCTTACAAAATTCTCAACTACTGATCAGAAACAAGAATGATAATCAAAATAACCACAATGATGATGATGATGGAATCACAACGTAGGCAAATTTGTTAATCTTATCCAAATTGGCGCTGGTAAGTTAGTACAGACATGATGGTCTGTGTAAAATTAAGAACAATGATGAGGAAGGCAGAGTAAACAGAAATAAATGACCATGGACTTCTGAAATAAGCCCTCATCATAGTTGCCCAATAGCTATTGAACTATGCATCCAGCTCGTTGAACTCCATGTAGAGGTAACAACTAGGGGCATTGATCACAACATTTTTTCCGAGATTGTTGAACAAATCAGCCACATATATGCCATCTTGTGATAATCCCATCTAGGCACAGTAATCCAGCATCTCTTGGCCGATGGATGGGACAATTCATGAAAGAAATATATAGTGTCTTAAGTATCTTGGTTTATCTTCTTGGCATTGTTCCCCGGCAACACAGTTCAGGAGAAGGGTGCTTGTGAAATCATTCACAGTTATCGCTGGGATTTCCAGGACCGGGTTGTGGAACTTGATGACCAAGAAACTCTCGGCTTTTCGTGGCTTCAACTTGATCCCTGATGGCCTTAATTCTGTTACACTTTGTATTGATTGACATGATGGACGATATGCATCAAGGTGTTTTGGTTTTGTTTCTTGATCTGAGGGTAAGAGACTAAAGTAGAACAAATCCAGTAAATGCAAAGGTTTGAACGCCATGCACTTCAAGAAGATTCGGAGGGCAGTGGCAAGAACAGGTCGAAAACTTTCAAGGCTAGAAAAGGGAGTGAGTTGAGTTTTATCTTCTGGAAGCCATGACGGGCGAAACAGTTCCTTCAGGACGAGAAAAGGCAGTTGGTTCTCCAATTTAAGAAGATCCCTGATGAGAATTGGGATTATCCAACCTGGAATACTTAGTGGTAGATGAGCAAACACAAAACAGAGAGAACCATGACTGTTCAGGAGGATAAAGACATTGGACGACATTAACTATATACTTGGAATTGCAACTAGAAGAAATTTCAATCAGTAATTCAAGTTTGTATTACAAATTAGAATTGTAAATTTAGGATCCTTCTAATTCCCCGTCTAACTAGCCAAAACATTCAAATTTTATCACCACCAAAGGTAATCGGTTTTACAAGCAATTCCTAATGCTTGTACAAAGAAATTAGAATTACAATACTGAATAAATTTTCTGTAAGAAGACCCCATATCGTCCAACAAACTATAGACTACTTAGCAGCTTTTTGTTCAATTGCTGTGCGCTTGCACATTGGACAAAAGTTCCTCCGCTGCAACCAGTTTTTGATGCAATCAGAATGGTATTCATGTCCGCATTCAAGCTCTGCTATTGTCTCCCCATCTTCAAATTCCCCTTGGCATACAACGCAGATTTCACCCTCTTCATCTGCACCGTGATCAGCTGTCTTTCGATATTTTCTTGTTCTGAGATGCTCCAAGATGGTTTCTTCTTTCAAATTGCTATATTGATCCGATCTTTCCGATGCTTCCAGGAAAGACATCTCTGAAATCCTGATGAACTCTACATCCAAATTATCCAGCTTTTCCTCATCCCCAACAGGCAAGATCATAAAGAGAACCGATAGCGGCTGTGGCTCATCATCGTCAGATTCTTCTTCTTCAACATGGTTATCCAAGGCTAGAAAGTTTTCCCTCTGAACCTCATCCTCTGTGGAGGGTGGAATGTTTTCTCGCCCATATTCGGAATCCTCCTGAGGAATTGAGTAGTTTTCTGGATGATCATCATCATCATCCCAAGCTGATCGGAGGTTGTGTGGACGATTTTCTTGCATGTAGCGTTCTTGAACCATCATCAGATGGTTGAAGTGGAGAGGGTCATCGATTGTTTGGTTGGAAAAAATAACTGGCTGACGATGCATAGTTCCAAGAGATTGCATAATTGAAACTATTACTTCTGTAGGATTACTTTCTTACTTTTCTTCTTCTTGCTGCTGCTGAATTGTTGATCAAGGACTTCTTGCTGCTCGTGAATTATTGATCAAGAACTTCTTGCTGCTCGTGAATTATTGATCAAGAACTTCTTGCTGGCTGCGTCCGAATTATTGATCAAGGACTTTTCTTCAGAATCCTTTCGGAACTTCTTCTTCTTAGCAAGCAATAATGATGATGATTATTTAGCAATTGGGTCAGGTATAACTTGTATATATATAGCCAAATCCAATTTTTGGCAGAATCCTAGCATGTTTTGGATAAGCAGACGTTTCCTAAATCAGCTTTGGATTAGCAAGCGTTTGAGACTTTGGTCAATCCTACGTCTGCTAGAAAGCGTGTTTTTCTTTGTTAGGAAGCATGTGTTGTTAACCTGACAATATTATGAGATGCCGACTTGATTATTAGCTAGATAAATGTGTGGAACTTTTTCCCAAGCAAAACTGGCAGATACCCAAAGATGGAGTATGATCTATTGTTTTTTAATGAAATATATTGAAGATTGATGAAGCCAGAGCAGTTAAAGCATCGATTGTCATGGAAGAGTTGCATTTGTTAAGCTACAATTACAAGGGAATTAGCTACAAATGGTAGATTATACCTCCTCTGACCAACAGAAGATGATTCTGATGTACAAAATATAAATTACTGCATCATGTTTGTCGGAAAATGTATTTTGCTACAACTCCATTACGGTTATTATGCACGCCTGTATTCATCTCCACAGTCCCCAATCACTTTTAGAAGATCTTTCCCTTTCTCTGAAGCTTCTCGGATGCTGCTCAAGTCTTCTTCATCAAGAACGAGTGAAAAAACAGCATTGGTATCTTTAATGTGCTCTGCTAGGCCAAGCCTAACACCTACCATTGATCCAGCCACCGCCGGCTGCAATTATGGAGAAGCGGAAGGGGAAATATGTGAGACAAGGATCTAAACAGTTCTAAGAGAGACATTTTCTATGTTTAGCTTTGGAACATAGATATCCAACTTCAAACTTGGGAATGACCTTACCTGATCTAGTACGTATCTCACAGCAACTGTTGGAATTGACACTCCATGTTTAGAAGCTACTTGTTTTAGTGTCTGTAACAAATTTTGGAAGAGACTCCATCCTCCCCATGCATCAACCATCTATGTTTTTTAATGCGTACAAGTAAATTAAACATGGGAATCAGAAGGCGTATGATAATACGAATAAACTTAAAGAATACCTGCTTGCCTATCTGTTAATAGAGTTACTTAAATTCCCATCATTCAAAAAGGAACAAAATTCTTTTGTGTCCATGGAAAAGAAGTATTCAGAATGCAATTGCAAAGTAATTTAGTGCATATCCTTGGAAGATCTTTGCTTTTTTGTTTTTTAACAATTGTACAGGCAATTCTCCCATTGTGCCTTAGGTAAAATGTTCCCGAGTTGAATTTCCAGATCCATTTTTTAATATTTGTTTTGACTATTGGAATTTGGCATCATTCAAGAGGAAATTTGGAAGCAAGAAGACATACCCTTTTGTACTTCTGCAGTGAAGGGGTATTCAATGGAGGGCCAGAAAAAGGAATTGATAGGTTGGTATCAAGAAATTTCTCAGATAATAGGCCACCCATTACCGTTCCATATCTGCACATTAGCTGTATAAGAACAAGAAATGGCTAAAGAAGTGTAATATGTAACTCAATAAAGCCATAATGCTAAGTATTTAACTCATTCAAGTCATTTTTGTCTTCTACATTCAGAAACTGTATTGTTAGGTCCAGAAATACGTTTTCATTTCTGAGAGAGAGAGAGAGAGAGACGTTATAAGTTTTACTCCAGTAAGCTGGCAAAGCTCTGCCATTTTCTGCTGAGGACGCATGTCAACGACTGAATGTTGTACCTGAAGAAACAACAGTCTCTGGAACTTAGTAAGATAGACATGGGGTATAGACAATAATATTGCCATTTTCATTCCAAATTAAAGAAATATTGGTGCTCATTTTCAGGCCTCTACAAGTATGGAAGTCGACTACACAAATTGACTTTTAAAGTCTTGTATCTAAGAAATTAAATTCTCCTATGCCTACACCTCCTTTTGCGTTACTTTTCTTCTTCTTTTGCAGTTCATATTAACATCCTTAGACATGTCAGGCATCAGCAGAGCATCATAGGAGAAGCCCATTTCATGGAATCAACTTTGAAGTTGACTTTTAAAGTAACTTTGAGAAATCACCTTCTCAAGTATGGAAACTGAATAAAACTCTCAATATTTCTTTAGTTTGGAATAAATTAGCAGTATTGGTGTATATAGCCCCTAGAGATCAATGTATACACAAATATACAAAAACAAGAAGAGATCTTTAAGTTATACTAGGCTAACCTGATTGCTTACTACCGGAATACCATTCTCCAGAATTTTCTGTAATCTCTCAGTATCAAAGTTGGTCAAAGCAACAGTCTTGATCTTACCTGCATGGGAATCACTGATATAATCCCATTTTAAACAAGGAATTCACTTCAAAGATGAGACTGTACAGCTGTTGGTCTGACACTAACCTTCGTCTTTCAGGTCTCTAAGGTGTTTAAGTGCATCAAGGTAGCCAGGATTAGAGTAGTCCCACCTGGTTCAGAAAGTCCAGAAAAAGGGTCAACAACAATTTGGAAGATATTTACCAGTGTCATCGATACTAAGATTGCTGCTTTGTTTCAAATTAAAGTACAGCATTTTGAATTATCTATAATAAGGTTAAGAAATCTTCACAGATGAGTTACACTAAACACATCACTGTCTTCACTAAAAGTGCGCAATCAGAAATGAGCTATCAGTACCGTATATAAGATTGAGGTGGCTTTTTGCTAAAAGGTTTAAAAACTACCAAAAACAAACTATTCCTGAGATCAAAGACAATTCACTGGACTGAGTAAATATTCATTGTACATATTGTCTAACTCAGTTCTATCTCAGCAGACACCTTCAGCATCCTAAGCCTGAGAATGATCCTGTCTCCTAGACCTAGTAATTAAAGGTTTAATATCTCAAGTACCATGAAGAAGGAACACAAGGAAAAATATTGGATACCAGTGAAACTGCAGCATATCCAAAGAAGAAACGTCCATCCTCCTTCGCGAAACATTAATGCTATCACGTACAAAGCTACTAGTCATCTTCACCGGTGGAGGAACCCACTTCGTTAGGCTGCGTTGAAGAAGAAACAAGTGCACTCAGATTGCATTGCTCTATTAGCAAGTAATACTTCTCATCTCAGCAATGCTATCCATGAGCAATTTAACATTAAAATGGTTGTGACTTACCCTCTGATATTTTCCAGAACCTCAGGAGGGCGCTCTCGACGCACTCTATTTATGAAGATCCAAAAAAGATCCTCGGCAGGTCCATCTGCAACATAGACATAATCACTGAACTACATACTCAATACAGAGTGACAATAACTCATATGCTGTTATCCCATTAAAGAAACAAGTAGATCTCTGATAAGTGCACCATTTCACTGATAGTAGTCAATCTAGAACGGTGTGTAAGGCAAAGATTTGTGACTATGGTTCAACCAGATACAAATGTAAAGAAAAGATATAAGTCCTAGTCTATGATGCTTTACATATGTCAGCCATATCAAAGGTGTTTGATCCAGCATTAGCATACTGAAGCATTGCATCAACTGCAGCATTTTGTTCAATTCTTCCCCATCCTCCACTAGTCTGCCACATCCCATTAACTACCCTGCAAATCTCCAATGAATCTTTCCGATTTTAACCACAGCCCTCCTTTTATCTTCAGTCAAGACACATTGCACTGAGCTCAAAAAAACTTTTCTTGCCTCAGTGACTCCGAAAGACCTTATCTTGATTGAGTTTATGCTAAATTGGGTAAAGCAGTGGCTCAAGTACTCTGCCATCGTGATTCTGTACTTAGCCTTGGCTTCCAGAGTAGCTGACTTATGTCATAGACAAACCTTTGTTTGCTAAATTGTAAAAACTCTTTCTTTGCTGTTACACTCTAGAAGTAGTAATGGAACAGTGGAACTGGAATAAATCCTGTCTCATCTATGTCTCAGCTCCGAACCACCACCTGGAGTGTTTTCTTGTCTAAATTACACTTTTGCCCATGAGCCGAGTTCTTAAAAAGGAAAGGAAATATCGAGTGCATCTGTCTTGGTTCATGTTACTGGAGTTTTATCCATATTATATGCATTTCTATCTAATTTCTTACTCTTTGTCTGACATGGCATATTTCGTGCTTATGATTTTATTATATTGCCCTTGCTAATTACTCAGACCACCAAATGATCAAAAAAGATCAAGGGGAAAAAAAGATAGCAAAAAGACAGACGCATTTTTTCTTCAATTAAAATAATACCTACCTAGTCATAAATCCCATCAACTACTAAAATTTTTTCTAAAGAAAAGGAAAAACTAGCAATAGAAAATCAGAGGAAGAGTATTTGAAGGGTAGAAATGTAATTTGACAAAAGTAGCAGTAACAAAGTAATTAGAGAGTGAACTGACAGTGGTCAGCCATGTCAAAGGTGGTAAGACCAGCGTCAGCATAATTAAGCATGGCCTCAACGGCGTCGTCTCGATCAATTCTGCCCCACCCGCCACTCGTCTGCCACATCCCATTGAGCACTCTGCATATCTCCAGATAATCATTCCCACTCTTTAAAGTCGACAGCCGCTTTTCTTTCTCCGCCACCACCCCTCCAACTTCCGCCGCCACCTCGCACCGCACAGCTCCTCCGAGCCTCCACCTCACTCCACCACAACTCCGACGCGCCGGAGCCTTGAAATAATTAGTGTTGCTGATAAAAGTGGATGCGGGATTTATGGCTTGGGGGTGTTGCAATGAAACTGTGGTCGAAGCTGCTGCCATTTGTTTTTTCTACTTCTTTTTTTCGTTATTTTATTTTCTGTTTCTCTTCGTTTGTTGTCGAAAATATATGCAACAGAGATAAGATGAATTTAGTTTGTGTGACTGATAGCATGTTACTTGTTAAATGACGATTTTGCCCCTCCACCCTCTCTCTGTCCCCTTTTTCCTATTCTTTGGCAATGTCACCATATTCTTTGGCAATGTCACCATATTATTATACTGTATAACAGTGGCGGATTAAAGGTGGGGGCACCGCTCCGCTCAGTCCGCTGTCCTCCTTAAATTTCTACAATACTTGTAGAATTTTGATATAATTTCACTGTGCTTTCAGAGTTTTTTTTACGAAAGGAAGTGAAAAGTTTTGGTTCTTTAAATTGGTTTATGAACTAATATTTTAAAAGAATATGTGAGTCACAAAGTTTCATTTGAAATAAACTTAAAAAAAAAAATTTTTTTCAATTTTTTGGTGAAATTTTTTTTTCGCTTAAAAAACTAGAAAAAGACTAGGTAAAAAAATTTTAGCATTACTTTTGCCCCCACTGAAATTTTTTCTGACTCCACCACTTACTATAGAACTACCGTTATTTCCCTAACTTCTATTGTAACTATAAATGTTGAGCTAGAACCAACAGTCATTTGGTTGTTGTTCATTACCAAAGTCTTTAACACTTGGTGGGGTAGAAGGTTAGGTTCAAAACTTACTTTTCATCACTTGACACTATTGTGGCTTTGTTACTTTAAGTGGTTTCCTCTAAATCATATGGATGCATGGTATCTGATAGTGGTTTAGTTCCCATTGATTCTTTTATAGGTTCAGTTGAGCCCTTCCTCTAGAATAGACTAGAGTAGAAGTATGAGTAAAAGTAGGAGTAGGTTTAATATAGATAAGTGACGATTGACAAAAAAAAATGTCAAGCTAGTGATTTTTTGATGAATTAACTTTATATGTAATCCAACTTTTACTAATCTTTGTTTTCTTTTTGGGTATCAAGATCCATAATAAATCCAAAAGAAATAGCCCAAAACTACTACTAAACTATGGTAATTTTGCTATTCCAAAAATTCATAAAATCTAAAAGAATTTTTTTAACACTTTTTTCTATCTTATAAATCTAAATCCATGGTAAAATACCTTTGAAAGTATTCTATCATAGTAATAAAGTTGTAATTATAGTTGTTTCTCAAATAATAAATACAGACTTGAAAAGCTTGGCACATTTTCCTTATAATTTGTGCTAGATAATTTTATAATTGTATGGGAAGTAAATTAAAACTCATTACACAAGAATTTTTTAGGATATTCATTTAAAATTTTGACCAAGTCAAATGTTATTTTAAGGTTCGGTTACTAAAACTATCAAGTCAAGGAAGGTAAGTGTTGTGACGACCCCATCTTCCCCTAAGGCGAACTAGAGGGGTCGACGGACCGCCTGCCCAACTCTCGCCAGGACTACGGGTCGCAAACAAATCGAATTTCGTTTAATATATAAAGGAAAATTCAACAAAGTGAACGATTTATCCATTAACTTGTTCCTATAACCATAATATCATTATGCAAGAAAGTATAGCGCTCGAGCACTTCAATCGGACAAGAAAACGAAAAACGAAATTTACCGCGGATGAACAGTAACCGCCACGTCACTATCCGCCAAAATCTGGCCGGATACCCGGCCGGATTCTCGGCCGGATAGGAGGCCGAGGCTAGACCTCAAAGGGGTCGAAATTCCCCTGTCAATCCGGCCGGAAGTTGGCCGGATTGCTTCGGCCGGATTGCCACCGAAGCCAAAAACCAAATTTTTTTTCTTTTTCCCCTGCATATCCGGCCTTGTATCCGGCCAGAAACTGGCCGGATTCTCGGCCGGATTCGTGAACAGTAACCTCGTCAAAATTCTTTTCTACCTTTGTTCGAAAACAGTTCTTGTATAAAATGCTTCCAACACACAATGCAATCAATCCAAGACCTGATATAGGTATATATACATGTCATATACACATGAGGGGAATTTCATTATACAATTCCAAAAGTACTTGAATTCAAATATACCAAGGTTTTCAAATGTACGAGGAGCTATTCAAAATTAACTACATAACTAGCTCAACCCTTTTCAAAACTTGAGTCCAACAGTGTCCCTGTAAGGAAAACAAAACAACGGGGGTGAGCTTACGCTCGTGAGGTACCAATTTCACAAGTAAGTCATACAATCCATCGAACACACACATAAGTGTTTTTCTGAACTCAACCATGTATAAAAGGATACAGTCGGCCCTCAAGGGCCGTTTTCCGATTTCCATACTTGATCATATTCGTTGACACTCCGTCAACCATTGAAGATAACCAAGAACCGTAGACACCTCTTCTCACTGCTTCCTTCCACCATTCACCCCCTAATCGGGCCCGCACACCTCATAGTTTCAAAAGGTAATACTCGAGTATACCACAAGGTCGAGGAGTTAACATCCACTCGCCTATTAGTGTCCCAAAGGCTCGTTAACGAATCGCCCAATTGCCGGCCCGACTCGAATAACGGTCTAAGGGAATGAGCTCAATTTTCACAGTAATAATAGGGCATAGCCCTAGCAATTATCAACCCATATACACATGAAATTCAATAGTTCAACAGTAACAGTAATGCACATAAGTGGTCAAGAGCGATAAAGTACACTCTCGACCTATTCAAATCACATAGCAAGTACATTCAACCATTGTATGGTACACTCACCAAGCAATCAAGTAAATCACACGTTCGAGTCAGGAGTAGGTCCCGGTCCACCGGTACGACCTAAAACAAGCAAGCAAACATATTTGAGACTCAATCACGAGTCAACGTACAAGTTAAACTTACTAATACAAGTTACTCAAAATAACAAGTAGAGCAACTAAAGTGTGGAATGGGAACAAACTCCCCAATTCTTCCATATCTATTCCTTTCCTTCTCAATTCAAGACCACCCATATTTCTAACCAATTGGGCGGCATTTCCCCTTAATTTCTTCACATTTCCAACCTAAGGAACAACACCCAACTTATACCAAAACACTTATGAGTCATAAATTAGTCCATTCACCTCATTTGAAACACAATACAATCAAATACACATCAACTGCTAGCATGAAAACCATACATGGAAAAACCCCAATTTCACCAAACCCTAAAACCGAAATTTCCCACAAATGCTAAAATCTTCCACAATTAACCACCATTAACACACAAAGGCTCTATATCAAACCATCTAAATCCATCACACTCAACTCAACCATGAGATATCATATAAACCAGAAAATTCCTCAATAAATAGAAAATTGACATAACTCAACCATAAGTCTTGAAATAATCCACAAAATGGCATCTTTAATCACTATCACCTATCAATTCCATCTTACAAACAACAAAGAAACAATTCCATATTTATTTACCTTACAAATACTTGATACAAGGTAGATGAAAGTCCCTCTCTTCAAACAAAATCCACCAAGTACTTCAAACACTCCTAGCAAGCAAGTTTTATGGAAAGATTTGGGAGATTAATGGTTGGTTTACAAGATTTGGCAAGGAAGTGAAGCAAAAGTTGAAGAGCTTCTCTTTCTTTTTCTCTCTAGAGCAGCCGGCCAAGAAGGTAAGAAATGAAGAGGAATTTTGGTCAAAAATTGAATTAGTAAAGGTGTAGGAAAAGTCAAAATCCAAGATCCAATGAAATTGCAACATTTGTCTTTCAAGTTTATCTCTTCCTTTTGTCTTACAACATTTAATTAAACCAACTAACCTCTAATTAACTCATAACACTAGGTCATAAAGCTTCCGTATATAAAATTTTCCAAAGCTACATTTAACTGTACCGATCGCCTTAGTGGGTCCCGTAACCACTTACACCCTTAATAGCACAGAAATTGACCTAAACCCAGAAAATGATGCAAAATTCATATTTTCTCATAAAATTCCCCAGAAAATCCACAGATAAAAGAAAGCCCCAAAATTAGACCCAAAAGCCCAAATTAAATGCCATGAAAATAAGAAAATTTTCGGGGGTCTCACACTCTCTCCCCCTTGAAGAATTTCGTTCTCGAAATTTCTCACCTGAATCACTAAACAGTTCGGGATATTTGGTTTTCATCTCACTCTCCATCTCCCAGGTTGCCTCCTCGACTCCGTGGTTTTTCCACAGAACCTTCACCAGTGGAATTTGTTTATTCCTCAGTTCCTTAACTTTCCTATCCAGCACTTGCACAGGTTTTTCTTCATAAGAAAGGGCCTCGTCAACTTCAATCTCTTCCGGCTGGACCAGGTGAGTTGGATCGGGGTAATACTTTTTGAGCATCGACACGTGAAATACATCATGAATCCGTGACAGGCTCGGCGGCAATTCAAGTCGGTATGCTACTTTTCCAACCCGTTGAAGGATCGGAAAAGGTCCCACAAATCTGGGTTGGAGTTTCTTTCCTCTGCCGGCAGTGACACTCCGCAATGGGGTAATTTTCAAGAATACTTGGTCTCCTTCTTCAAACTTCAGGTCTTTCCTTCGATTATCGGCGTAGCTCTTCTGGCGACTTTGGGCTGTCTGGAGTCTTTGACGGATTAACTTAATCTTTTCTTGTGCATCCTCCATCCAAGGGATGATAGTAGGGTCTAGGATCTTCTTTTCTCCTACCTCATTCCAGTATATCGGTGAACGGCACTTTCGCCCGTACAGAGCTTCGTACGGTGCCATTTGGATTGATGAGTGGTAACTATTATTATAGGCGAACTCTACTAACGTCATGTGCTGTCCCCAATTACCTCCGAAATCTACGATACACGTTCGTAACATGTCTTCGAGGGTCTGAATCGTTCGCTCTGATTGTCCATCTGTCTGAGGGTGATAAGTAGTACTCAAATTCAGCTTCGTCCCCAAGGTCTCCTGAAACTTTTGCCAAAATCTGAACACGAAACGAGGGTCTCGGTCGGAAACGATGCTCACGGGTACTCCATGTAATCTTACAATCTCTTCCAAGTATACCCGAGCTAACTTATCCATGGAATACTTCATATTCACAGGTAGGAAATGAGCCGACTTGGTCAATCGATCAACGATTACCCAAAAGGCATCATATCCTTTTTG